GCTCTCTCCTCTCTGGAACAAGGTATCTATTTTCCCAATACCAGAACAGGGTATGTTTTTCAGCGATCTTGCTCTGGAAAAGGGTATGAATTTCAGCGATTTTGCTCTTGAACAGGGTCAGGGTTCAGAGGGCTCAGCGGCACATCCATACCAGAAACCGGCAAGAGTACCCCCCCGGGCCAGAAACGAGGTATGACGCAGCTAAAACTAGTTTGGCTGGCCATCATGACCTGTGACATACAGGCCGTTATTTCAAGCCCTGAGCTAAAACCAATAATACTGGTCACTATGACTGGCAGCTGAGCAACTGTTATCCAGCTCTATTGAGTGGAACTTTTTTTGTAAAACCAAAAATGCATAAAAAAGAAACTTAACTAAAGGAAAATAATTGAAAACAACTTTGTGTAGAAATCTCAGGAAAATGTTGGAAAAAAAATTAGAAAATATTTCCTCATGAAAAATATTAAAGATAACATCCTACAAAATCACATTTGTAAGACAAATAAAAAGACAAATTAGAAGGAAATATGAATGCAAATAATAAATATTTGCTTTAACGTATTTATTTCAATACATTTTTTGTTTTAACCATCTAAAATAATTAATAAATTGATAATAGTCAATAGATTGTTTTGACAATCTTAAAAGGTTTACTATTCGCTACGAAATATATATTCTTTGTTACATGAAATGCATAGCTGTTTTATATCTTGGAACAGCTTTCATAGGAAACTTCATATCATTGATTATGCAATTAAAATAATGCCTTCCTATTTTTTAGGGTAATGTTTTTAAAAGTTAAAGTCCTGTTGCTCATTAATACCAGCTCCTTCTTCGGGTACCGAACACAGTTTAAAATAATAGAAACAACATAAGACCCCAAGTTATACGATAGAATGGAGCTAGCAAAGAATACGATAGGTTTGTTGTGGTGTATATTTAGAAAGACCCTTAAAATTATTAYCAAAATAAATTCAAACTTGTCCTGCATCTGCCATAAACTTTCAACAATAACTATGTAAAATTCAAACGAAAATCCTTACAGAACTGGTTTCCATTTCGAACCTGGAAGTAGTTTTTCATAGCTATTGTAATCAACCCACACCATACAGTAAGGTGCCAATGAGTGGTCGGGAAACCAGTTACTGACATTTTACCCTATTTTTATGTTTTCAACCAATTACTTGCCAACATTTTTCACATGAATAACATAATAAAAAACTCTACTTTCTTGGCTACAAATTAGCTGATCTCCCAGAAAGAGAATAGTACACTTTTTGCCGATGCAGTAGCACTATGGTGCAGCCATATTTCCCCTGCTCGGTAACAAATCCTAAGTTCTTTAAAGCATACCTTATTTACCCATTTAATCATCTGTTATCTCACAGTCTGGTAAAGTCTTCTGAAGATCTTCTACAGCTTTTTCTCTGTTCTTAATTCTTTGCAGTCCAGTTAGGTTGAGCTTTTTGAGCTTCCTTTTAAAAGTAAAGCAAATAAAAGAGTTATAAGATTAATAATGCATTGTGAATCAAATTTTGTCAGGTAATTCTGATATAATAGCACCACTTTCTCTCAACTGCAATCAATATTATGAAAGCTCAGTTGCACAATCCTGATGTATTTTAGACTTAAACTAAGGTGATGTGATACAGTAAATTGAAATTCCTACTTACTTTAGTTGGCTGAGTGGCGAGATGTCAGTGATTGCTGTACAGAGACTAATATCCAACTCTTCAAGTGTTTCTTTCACTGGTAATAGTTTGTTGACATCACCCACATACTTACAGCCATGTAAGTTCAAATAATCCAGATACTTTAAACCCTCTACCAGAAAATGAAATGAAACAACAAATAACATTGACTAGCTAAAAAATATCTTCCTGCTATGTAAAATGGAGAAATTAAAGGAACATGAAAGCTGGAAATTAAAAAAAAAAAGGTTTTGCATATGTGACAAGAAAAGTAATAAGTAGGACTGCTTTGAACTTTTCTTTGACTAAGGTAGAGTTTGATAAAAGGAACTAACTCGTAAATCCTTTCTTTCTTTATGGGGTCTGCAGAGAATTAATTGTCCTTTTTTCTTTACGGACTGCACTGAGTTTAAACGAATCTTACACCTCGCCCTGTGTGGTGTTTGTGAGTTGGGGGGGGGGGGGGGGGGGGGGGGGGGGGGGGGGGGGAAGGGGGGGAGGGAGGGGGGGGGGGGGGGGGGGAGAAGGGGAGGGAGGGAGGGAGGGAGGGGAGTTAATGAGGCATAAATGTTCTTTGGAAACACCCAATAGATAGTACAAAAAAATAATACTATACCTAGGTGTAGAAGACCTCCAGTTGTGATGCATGTATTCTTGCCATTGATCTTCTGTAGTTTGTACTTCTCTCTTGGACCTGCCACCAGAGCATTATAGTTCCATACCCAGCCGTTATGGTGCAGAAACTTCACTCCTCCACCATTCCTCAGGACCCATTCTGCCGCAACCCTGGAATGGATCAGTATTAGTATTGATATATCCRATGCTTTCTTGGGTATTGGGTATTGATTGGGCAATGCTATGGGAAGTGCCACTCCTACCATCTCTTGCCCTATAACAACCACTATCCTCTTCAGACTAGAATAGAACTCTTTACTTTGGACATAATGTTTTCCCATTTCAGACCACATTTTCATGAAAATATTTAGATTCTTTGTTTGAGTTGTATTCATATTCCTGTATCTTCTCATGTCCAACCGTAAAACAAAGAAGTTATACTCAAGTGAATGGCACATTGTCTGACATGGGAAAACATAGCCTACCCAAGTGGCTGTAAAGGTTTAAACAACAGAACAAGAGAATAGGTTGATGTATACCTGTCTGGGCCAAATTCTTCAAGGCGACTCGTGTCAACTCTAAAATCAAGAGAACAAAGTTTTCCTTTTGATTAAACAATGCATATATAATATTATATATACATTAGGGATGGATTGTTTTAGGGAGCTATGCATTTATAATATAGAAATACAATCTCTATTGCACCTCACCTCACCTTTGTTTGTACCACTTCTAATGTTGTATATTGTATTAAATGTACCCGCTGTAATCTTTTGTATGTGGGCGA